AGAAGGCATGGGGTTTCATAAGGAGAACCCATACAGAACAGTTTGTGTACATTGAAGATTCGTAGAGAATATCTGCTTGCTTCAAGCTGGCTTTATTCGGGATTCCAACACAGCCCCAATACGTTCGAGAACAGGTCCAATGTTTTTCGTTTGAGAAAAAACTTCTAGCATTTCTTATCTTGACTTCTTTCTCTAGGAAACTTACAATACGATGTGAAATGAAATGAAACAGAGTTCAAATAGACACCTTTAGCACCGACTTTTTTACCTACAAAGGTCTTTCCGTCATCTAATCAGGATTGTGGCTCAGAGGCAGAAACAATCAATTAGATTATCTTGATGTGCGCCATGAACCCAACGATACGGAAGGAGTGAACTCTTATTTGGGTGTGCACGGCTCCCATGTACAGTGCTATAAATAAACAACGTCACAGTGCAACTTCTATCAACTTAAGCTCGTCGTGCCTTACTTTCGAATTTCATTCGACACAATGATTGTAAGTGAGTCTGTATGAATTCTTCCTTGGACGTTACCTTTGCGGCACCAGCAGTAACTGCTACCGTAGTTCTACTAAACTCGACATCAGTCCATATTGGTATCACCATAGTCATAAACTGTCTACGGTTGGGCTTTCCACCAGTGAATGAGCTTTAAAGTCATGCAAATAGCTCATGGAACAAGAATCATCGCAGGTCTTCCAGAAAATCAGTTGTCAAGTGGAACCCTATCATTTAGTAGTGACAGTATTAGTAGTGACATTTAGTAGAACACCTAAGGCACTCCACCGAGAAACCCGACGAGAAAAGGGCTTTGAAATTATATTTTTTCATGTAGCTTCCTAGAGCTAGATGAGCCGGGAACTACAGGACATCCTGTTTGTGTTCATATAATAAAGGATTCAGTTGAAATTGAGAGCTAGAAAAGTTTATGATTCTCCGTATTTTCCGAGCTGCTAAAGCGATCACTCTTGCGAAAATATTGCGAGTACTCAAACTTCATGAGTCCGCGCCACAACAATGCCATCACGAGAGCAGTGTCATATACGTTTCCCAGCTGGTGAGGTGAGAAAGGCGAGCTCGTGAAGTGAAGAGAAGTAAGAATTCAGAGGCAGCTAATGATCTGAAGAGTGATTCCATAGACTGTGCATAATTTTTCTAGTATTTGCAATATTAAACTTGTTTTGTTGGGTACATACATCATTTCCAAGCTCAAGCAGCAATAGGATTCACGACTCCCTCATAAATATGCAGATTGTAAATTAGTTCCAATCACGGTAACACTGTTGAATAGTTAGTTAGCCGTAGCCGTTGTCGTCAGCTTTTGGAAAAGGCGACCAACAAAAAATCATGGAATATGAAGAATTTCGTACATGGGTTCTACCTTGCAGTGGTGTACGAGCTTGAGGCGGGGTCGGAATATTCGTCAAATTAGGGTTACGCCGGAACCCCATACC